GGGAGATGAAGAGGAGGTAAGTCTTGACTTCAGTCAGTTTCTATTAGGGAGGAAGGACAGCTTACTAACTTGGTGGCAAAATCATCATCAGAAACAGCTACACTGGCAGAAGTAGCACCATAATAGCTTGCTTTTACACAGACCTCATTTTAGAGAGAACATTTATTTAGTTTTGCAGAAGTTTTATCAGGCTGCAGTTGACAGTGCTGAGGAATTATGGTTCCTGCCCTTTTATATCAAACTTTAAATATGGGTCTACCAGGATTTTTAATAATAAAATTGTAATCATAATTAATTTTTGAATAAAATTTCAGATTTATTCTTCTTTCCCAGTAGTTCATTCTGTAAAGGCAACATTTAGCTTTGGCAAATGTTGGTTTTAATATTTGGCCATTTGGCATTATGCCAAAGTGTGTATTTGGTAAATTTCTAAAATAAACATTCATTTCTGCATCCATCTGTCCAGTCCTCCTAGTGAAACAAAAGTTTCACAAAGCTATAATTATTTCTATTATTTACAGTACTCTGGTCTTTTCTGTTTTATTTAATATTTTTAAAAGCCACTAAATTAGTTTTACCATCTACTAATATGTCATGATCTAGAGTTTAAAAATGTTGAGACTCACTGTACTCTGGGGATAGTGACATTGTCTGGGAGGGGTCATTTTTGTATGCAAAATAAGGATGGTTTTCTTCCTCAGAAATGCATTTAAGATCTCAAAGACATGTTAAGACATAAAAAATGAATTAATGCTACTGCCAAGTAATTTTCTATAGTGGTTGTACCAGTTTACACACCTACTGGTAATGTCTGAGAATTCCAGTTGTTCCATATCCTTCTTAACACTTAGCGTTGTCAGTGTTTCGGGGTTTAACTTTCATAGTGGGTGTGTAGTAGTTATCATAGCCATTTTAAATGAAGTCCATCTAAAATGTCTCATGCCTCCCAACATTGTTCAGCAGAATGTAAATGAAATAGTCGGTCTGTTACAGATGACTAAGTTCTGATGTTTTGAATAGTCATTCTTCTTGCCATTTATGGTATGTCTATCCATTGTGGTGAGCAGTCTGCTTTTAATGCTGTCCTAGTGGCTCACTCTAGAAGCTTTTCCTCCACTCTTGCACCAACAGAGAATAAAGTAGATTAGAAATTGTATGTTTGAGTTTGGAAGCCCCAAGTCCTTCTATGTGCTACTGCAGGGCCTTAGTGCTGCAACAATACATATTCTTTTTGCAGACCTCAGAAACAGCAAATTCTCTTACTCGTTGCCTGTTCGAGACCCCATCCCAGATCCCCTTCCCTCTATCAGCCTCAACTGCTATGGACAAGGATTAGTTTATTGAAGTCGGGGGGGAGGGGAGGTTGGGAGGTGGTAGTAGGGGAAGCGGTCAGCCTGACTCCAGAGGAAAATAGTGTTTGGCTGATGACTAGTGGACTCAGCCTTTCACTACAGGGTCTAGGTGGGGTTGCAAAGAAAAGAGAAGGGTGTGCCTGGCAAGGTGAGGAGCCAGCAGCTGTTGGTGTCATAGGAATTTGCTTATCTTGCTTATGTTAGGAGGCCAGCCCTGCTGAAATCCTTAACACCATTCACATGCTAGTTCATGTTTATGAGAGTCACGTAAAGCATCAGGCAAAAGATTGGGCCTGTTTCCAGTCTTAATTCAGGGTGAATTCCAGGGTGACTTCAGGTAATTCATGCCATCTTCTCAGTTCCACTTTCTCCCTTCGTTGTATGTAACCAAACTTCTGTGAGAAAATGGTCAAGATGGAGGGTATCTGAAGAAGGCATCTAATTTAGCCTCTCTGCACATACAAGAACACAACTATTTTACGTTGTGAATCTGCCTTCATTAAATATGTTTGGAATTGATCAGTGCCTGCTCTTGATGACTTATTAAGATTGTTTTTTTGTTTGTTTGTGTTTTGGATGTCTGCAAGGACAATACTATAGAAACACAGAGTACCCTGATTTTTTCCCCTTTAGTACTCTGTGTAAACCTGTGCTATAGAATCTTGCACACAGTTGAATTAAATATGATGTAAAAATGATCAGTGAATTAAGTATTATTAATTGCTGTTCTCTTGAGAGGCTATATCCAGGGTTGAAAGTCATCTGTTTTGCTTCTTTATGCTATTTCATAACCTCTGCCTGCTTCTTTGTATTCTTTCATTTCTACTTGACTCAGCTTTGGGAATGGAATAAATTAAGGCCTAGAACTTTTATAATATATGAGTTAAAAGGGACCCACAAGGGGCTAATGTCTCAACATTAATTGAGAAAAAGGATCGTGTATGTGAAAGTGTTTTCTACAGCATTACATAGAGAGAGCGTTCCCTCGTATAATGGCCTAGAGGGTTGCCTGATGTCCTCTGTTTAGTATAAATCGAGATGCAAATAAATCTCCAACTTCCTCTTAAGTTGTGAACGTTTTAAGTAAGACAATCGCAAAAGATACAGTTACAAAATTCAGCGGCTTAGTCACACTCCAAGTTTTCTTTTTCCAGGTTTTAAAATTTATACTGAATTTTCTCTAAGCTCGTTAAGTTGACATTGGATCTTGTTTCCAAAATCATACATAGCCTGTCTCATCCCTGCCCTTCCCTCAAAGGAGCAAGAAAATTCTGTCATTATTGAGTTTGGTCACGAGTGGATGCTTCCTTGTGTAACTTCTCTTTGGAAAGTTTGAAGTAATCAAGATAGTTAATTTCTCCTCTCAGAGACAGGTCAGCAGAAAATATTTCTCCTGGCAGCTCCTCCTTCCATTTAATGTTTCCTTTCTTAGGCCTAAGGGTGTGGGGTAAAAAACAAACTCCAAACAAAAAAGAGTTTTCACTTTTGCTTCTAGAAGTTGCACTAGAATTCAGATCGCAGAAATAATGTTTTCTTGCAGCCACACTAAGTAACAGGGGATTTGAACGGCTCTTCTATATTAGGGCATTTAGAAGAAAGAATGATTCCCACCCCGCTATACCCGCAGTGAAAGTATCTTTATTGTTTTCATTGATAATAAAAGTAATACACGCTCAGTGTAATAAATTTAAACAATGCGTGTAAAGTAGAATGTGAAGATTCCCATAATTGGTGTTTCCACTCAAGATGTTTGTGTGCTGTCAACGTAAATAGATGGTACTTGGCATACTGTTCTATAACGTGGTTTTTTTTTTCCACTGAATATTTTGCAGGCTTTTTGCTACATCAGTGTCTGTGGGTCTGTCTGCAGCATTCTTTTTAAATGACTTTATCATAAGGTTGAATCAGAGTTGATTTACATAGTCCCTTCTTAATGGACATCATGTCATTTCTCATTTTCTGATGTTCTAAATTTGTGTCATCCAGTATGCTAGCCACCAGCCACTTGTGGCAATTTAACCTTGTTCAAATTAAATAATGTGTAAAAATCAGTTCGTCAGTAGCCATATTTCAAGTGCTCAGTAGCTATATGTGAGTAGCACAGATGTAGAGCTTTTCCATCATTGCATAAAGTTGTATTGGACAGTGCTGTTCTAAACTGCTGGTTTTCAGACTTTTTTTTTGAGTACATGTTTCCATTCCTTAATTCATCCATTCTTCATTCATTCGATAAATAATTATTAAGTGCTTCCTATGTGTCAGGCACTGTGCTAGGTACTTGGATATATCATTCATAAAACAAAACACCTACCCTCATAATGCTTAACATTCTATCAGCAAAAGGTTTTGACTACTCCCAGTAAATGTATTTATAAGTTGTATATGTATTCTATCATGCTGTTATATTTTATTTACTTATTTATTAAATATTTATTTATTTATTTATGGTTGCATCAGGTCTTAGTTGCGGCACGCAACTAAGATTTTTTTCATTGCAGCACTCAGGCTCTTCGTTGCGGTGCGTGGGCTTCTCTCTAGTTGTGGCACACGGGCCCCAGAGCTCATGGGCTCAGTAGTTGTGGCATGTGGGCATAGTTGCCCCGCGATATGTGGGATCTTAGTTCCCCGACCAGAGATAGAACCTGCATCCCCTGAATTAGAGGGTGGATTCTTAACCACTGGACAACCAGGGAAGTCCCAATCATGCTGTTATATTTTAAAACATGTTAAAATAGGAATGAAAATGAATAAGATAAAAATGTACATAATTTCTGAAGTAGTCTTCCTGTGTCCCACCTTGGGGACCACTGTTCTGAATAATGCCCTTGGACTAGGTGGTCATCTCTAAAGGTTCTTCCAGTACTGAAACTGAACTGTTATCACATTTTAAGTAGGTAGTTCTTCTATTTTGATATGTGTAGGCTTTTTCCAACACTGTTTGAATTTGTTCTTATACTTATATATTTATTTAGCAAGCATTTATTAAGTTCGTACTATATGTCAGGTAGATGCCAGGAGATTGAACAAGTCAGGGTTCCTGCCCTCAAATGAGACAGGCCAGCAAATCAGTTATTCTGATACCAGGTGTTATGGAAATGCAGCAAAGGGACATAGAAAGAGAGAGATGGTTTGGCAGAATGGACAGCTCTCATGAACATGACTCATTTTTGGATAGTTATTGAACTCTGTTGTGGGACTTAATGGAATCACAGATTTCTCCAACAGGTACAATTTTTCTCCCTGATATTTTCTTTTCTCTTGGAAAATATAAAATCCTAAGCCATTAATTTAAGAATATTCAACTACTGTTGATTGTCCCATTAAGTATCTCTTTATGTTAAACTCTCACCTTTCTGTTTTTAAACTTAGATCTTAGGGTTGGAGAGGTTCTACATAGGACAGAAGCTAAGCACAAATAATTAGGTAGCTCCTGTTGTTTGAGAGGGGGAAGGTATGTGTTTATTCATACTTTCATTTAACAAATATTTTAAAAATACCTCCTATGCAGAAAAAACACTTAATTCCAAAATAAATTTCTCATAGGGGCTTTTAGTTAAGGAATTCTGAAGAATATAAAGGAAAATACTGTTTACAGCAAATTTAGAAATGAAAGAATTGATCATGTGTTTTTTCTTTCCTTTCTTTCAGGGCAAGTTAAAGTGTTCAGAGCTCTTTATACGTTTGAACCCAGAACTGTAAGTATTCGGTTTTTCACTTTCAAATTGACATAAAAACCAAAAGTGATTTCATTTAGATACTTCCTCTGTCCTAAATGGTCATCAGCTGCTTCAACCCTTCATTTGACTAGGGACAGAGTCCTCTGTGGTCCAGCCCCCTTTCTAGTCCTGCCATCCTCCACTCCTTCCCCTTCGTGGACCATTCCAGTCTGGATTTGGTGCACAGTACAACTCATGTCTGAACTCATGGCTCTGCACCTCTCTAAGCTTTGATCACACACTTCCTCTTCCATAAAGACTTTCTGATCACCCCATGGAGGAGTGGGATGTCTCTCCCGCCTCTGAATTTCTGCACTTGGCATTGCAGTCTTGCTCACCAGCACAGTGTCTAGGGTGCAGAACACAGGGGTTTAGAACTTACAGTAGCTTTTAGGACCCGCTCTGCCTCTTTTAGCAGCTGTGTGACCTGGTAAATTCAGAAATTACCTAACCTCTGTGCCTCAGTGTACTCATCTGTAAAGTGAAAATAATAATAATCTCATAGGGTTTTAGTGAGAATTAAGTGAGATTGTGTAAAGCTGCTGTTACTGTTAAGGAGTCATTGTTACTATTAGAAGGAGTAGTGGTTGCTATATTCATAGACTCTTAACACATACTTTTGATTGGTTGATGTATTGATTACTTTAATTCACCTCCAGTTCTTTTCCAGGATGGAGTCTCTCTACTGTTATTTATTTATTTTTGGCTGCATCAGGTCTTCGTTGCTGTGTGAGGGCTTTCTCTAGTTGCGGCGGGCTGGGGCTACTCTTCGTCGCGGTGCGCGGGCTTTTCATCACAATGGCTTCTCTTGTTTGGGAGCACGGGCTCTAGGCACGCAGTCTTCAGTAGTTGTGGCACATGGGCTCAGTAGTTGTGGCTCGTGGGCTCTAGAGCACAGGCCCAGTAGTTGTGGCACACGGGCTTAGTTGCTCCGTGGCATGTGGGATCTTCCTGGACCAGGGATCAAACCCATGTTCCCTGCATTGGCAGGCAGATTCTTAACCACTGCACCACCAGGGAGGTCCCTCTACAGCTTTTTAAAAGTCTTGGTTATTATTGAATGCGCAGGAGAAAACAGACATTTAATTCACTAGGTTTTTTGAATATTCCACATTTAAAATGCTATTTTTAATATCCATGGTCCCAAGCATCCTAGGCTGTAGAGCAGTGCCGCTAATTCGTCCTGTGTGTGCTGGATGGTCAGTAATGGCTACCTCATGCCCTGCTGCTCCCACACTCTGCTCCTCTCCATCTCCCCTCAATACAGACGTTGAAGGGGAGGTGTCTGGCTGATCAGGTCCCAGGGGTCTTCCTGACTGCTTAAGTGCCCATGCTGTACCAGTTGTTCAGTATTTTGAATGTCACCCTAGAACTAGGTTCATCTTAACATTCTTTTCTGAATGAGAATTTCTTTTGGACAAGCTCGGTTTGGTCTTTCTCCCCTGGGCCCAGTGGCCATCTTCTCTAGTGGGATGGGTGTACCCCAGGATATCCTAAACTCACCTAAAAGTCATTGAGACAAAGAAGTTGGAAGGGCTGAGCTGGACTCTGCGAGTCCATCGCTGACATGTACAGCACCCCAGAAATACCTGGGTCCAGTTTTTAGCTACTGTACTACTCTCAGGAGATAGGGACAGCAATACCCAACTCATCTCGGTGATCCACCGGGAAGCTTGTCACTCTTGGTTCTTCCTGTCAGTGCATTTCTCTCCTCTGTCGTGCATGAAGGCAAGGTAGTCCTGACATCACCCAGCCCTGTTTGGTTCTTATTTCTTACCCAACCCCCAATCCAATAAAGTGTCATATAGAGGCCTGGTAAGACTGGATAGACCAGTGTTGCACTGATGGAGAGAGAACAGCATTTCCTGTGTGCTGGAGGTATATTGATTTCTGCAAGGAAACCAGCAGGATCCTCCTCTCTATCATGTAACATTTGCTGGACTCCTCTAGGTTTATAGCACTATATGTAGGGGAAGGAGCCCTATGATGGGATTCCAAAAGCTGAAGTAGGAGCCCAGCCCTACCACTCACTAACTGTGTGATTTGTGGCAAGTTCTTCAACCTCTCTGAGACTGGCTGTTAGATGGAGATTATACCCATGACCCAGCCCTGCCTTAATGGGCTGTTGTAGGATCAAATGACGTTAAGTATGCTTTGCAAGTATAAGGCACTGCTGTTGATTTTGTTGTATTGCATTATGTTGGGGTGGGGAAGAGAGAAACAACAGATATTTTTCACAGCCATTGCCTTTTATCCTGATCATGACACCATGGCAACCAGTAATGGTTATGCATGACCCTTCTGTATGAGAGAAAGCAGAGGTGGTGATGAAGGGCAGGGACTCCAGAATCTGAGTGTCACGGTTCAAGTTTAGGGTCTACCATGTACCTGCTGTATGGCCTTGGACAAGTTTCTCATCTATAATGTGATGATAAGAATAGCACCCACCTCACAGTGTTGCTGTGAGATTCTAAGTGTCCAGACCAGTGCCAGGCACATGATAATACTATAAAGTGCTAAATGAAAACATTTGTGGAGAATTTGATTTTTTTTTCTTTTTATTAATTCTCAGGGCTCCAGGTTGACAAATGTGGAAAATTTCAAAATTTCAAAATTTTCAAAAAATTTCACGGTCTTTCCAAAATTTTTCATAAAATACATATTTGCATAAACCAACCAAAATTAATGCCTTGAGAATTATATGTTACCAAGAATATATGGAACAGGATATACATTACCAAGTGGGTGCTCATCCCTATAACATCCCAGTGGCCAACAATTTACTTGTTCTGATGCTTTGTGGTTGTTCAAGGAGAGAGGAAAAGAAGAATGTGGTTAAAAACCAAAGAACAGACAGAAATAGACAAGTGCTTACTTGATTGTGTCACTCTTTTCCCATCATAGTCCATGAATACCATGCCAGGAATTTAAAAGGCGATCCTCACTGAACATTTACATTGTGTCCTGCAAGTGGTTTCTTAATGGAAAGTGTGAATATCGGAGGTACAAATCTATCTGAGTCTTAAAATCATGAAATTACCTTGTTGTTTATATTGCCACCAGCAGTCTGAAGAATTTGGTAAACGACCTCCTCAGCTACATTAGGAAAAACCGCCCCTAGCTTCTTTGGAAGAAGATATTTTAGCGGGGGTAGCATTGTGTGTCTGGGAGCTATTGATTAAAAAGAAAATAAACGTTCCACTCTCTTTTCTCAGGATGAAAACTTAGCAAGACCTTTTTTTACCTGACTGAAATCGACTGCCTTTTGTTGCTCCCTTAGTTGAAAAACAAGTCTGATCTAATGGGTAGCTGAGGCAGGCACTGCTATGGAAGAGCAGCCATTAATTTAAAATCCGAAACAGCGCAAGAAGTTTTGAAATGACTGTACTTGGTGACAGTTTCCAAATCATGCATTTTACCAAACCACAAAAGAAAAGAATTATTTACAAACACCATATGATTTTAAAAATTGAGGTAAAATTCGCATATTAACAATTTTTTGTATTTAAAGTGAACAGTGAAGCATTTAGTACAATCACAATGTTGTACAGCTATTACCTCTGTCTAGTTCCAAAATATTTTCACTGTCCCCAAAGAAAACTCTGTACCCATTAAACACTGACTTCCCATTCTTCCAGGCTTTATTCCTTTTTATGAGGAAGACTAATTACAGAGACTTGTGTATGTTCTTTGTTTTTTAAGTTATGTGTTTGGCACTTTCTCAAAATGTGCCTTTTGTTTCAAGGGTGAATGATCTTATTAAGTGTGGAAATTCAGGCAAACTTGACTTTTGTGATTTTAGACATGACTCCTTCACTTCAACGTAAGCACTGATTGAGGAGGATTGATTGTTAGACGTAAGTGGGCAAGGTTAGCTTCTCTTCAAGACATTGAACTCTTTCAAAACTCCAAGAAACTCAGTCACTCCAAAAAAATGCTAAGATTTCACATATATTCTGTTTTCTTTACTTCCTTGCATCCTGCTTCATTCTCCCCACCCATTCCTTACTGTTGTAAGGATGGCTACTCCATCCCACCAGCTGGGATGCTATGGTGGCAGTGAGTCACCTTTCTGGCCTCTGAGAAGTGAGCCAGTTAACGGCAGGGAAGTGCTAAAGTAAACAATTTGTTTCCCTAATCACTTTCTATATCCATCACATATTGGTAGTAATATTGATCATAGATCATCAGGACATTTTAGGGAAAAATTGAGAAAAGTCTTAGAAGGCTTTACTTTTTTTCTTCCAAATGCCTATTTCCAATAATATTAAAATGTATGTCATTGATCTACACAGGCTCAACTAATTTTGTATAGATATGCTATGTGTAAGTCTAGTCTCTGTAGATCGAAGTGTAAATTAAGAAATGCTTCAGAAAGTGCTTTTTAGAGGAACTCACATTTTTTAGTTTCATTAATCATCATTTGCTAATTTTTATATTTGAATGCATATTGCATCTAAATATTTATGAATTGTGGTTGCTTAAAGCATGATATAGCTGATATAGTCTTTATCTATATTCACGGGGAAATAGTTATAAAAAGAATAGAGATCATCTTTGAAACTCAGTAAATGACTGTTGCAGAGTCACATTTACTGCCGTAGTCTGCAGCTGAGAGAGATAAACAAAAGGAAAATGAAAGAATGAAATAATTTGTTTCACTAGCATAATTTTTATTTGTGTGGAGCAGTAACTGGAATCGAATATCAAAGCCTTTAAAAAAATTTTTTTTCCAACCAGCATTATGAAACTAATATGTGCTCATGATCTTATCCTATGTAAAATTTTGTGCCCTACATTCTTCACTTAGCATGACAATGTAAACATTTCCCAATATCTGAAACTTGCTCATCAGTAGACATAAATATACATATATATATATTCTGGCCACGCCGGGCGGCTTACAGGATCTTAGTTCTCTGACCAGGGATTGAACCTGGGCCACAGCACTGTAAGCGCTGAGTCCTAACCATTGGACCACCAGGGAACTCCCTAGACATTTTATTTACTCATACAGTCATGCTGATAAGTGTTATCTACTGATGGGAAAAAGATATTTAATTAAAGTGCTTGGCTTTATTCAGGGAGTTTGTAGGACATTTGGCTGGTATAAGAGCATGTATTGTCTGTGTAATTAATTAACCCCTTAGAGCTTGCTTAAGATCTAGAACGAGTTACTGCTTCATATCTTTCGGCTCTTTAGTCTTTTTTTTTTTTTTTTTGTGGCACGCGGGCCTCTCATTGCTGTGGCCTCTCCCGTTGTGGAGTGCAGGCTCCAGACGCGCAGGCTCAGCGGCCATGGCTCACGGGCCCAGCCGCTCTGCGGCATTTGGGATCTTCCCGGACCGGGGCACAAACCCGTGTCCCCTGCATCGGCAGGCGGATTCTCAACCACTGTGCCACCACGGAAGCCCTCTTTAGTCTTATTAATGATTGAATTATGTATTAACTGTTCTCATATATAAGATATTCATTCTCTCTGAACATGAAGAGTTAAGATAATGGTTTTCTCAAAATAAGTAGAGAGCGATGTTGATATGAAAGTGTTTAAGGACTGAAGGCTAATCGTTTAGGAGAGAGCCAAGCTTCTAGCTATTTTTCATGGTTTTAGTTCTAGACATTTATCCTTTTATGAAAAAATATATATCACCTTTTGAAATTTTTACAATGAAAAAGTTTTATTAATATTCTATTTTGGTATAAAAATGCCTTGCTTTCATTGGGGAAGAAAATAAGGTGTGTGGGTGTGTGGCGAGGAATTCTTATTTCTTATATTCTTTAAAGTTTATCATGGGAAAATTCACATTTCTGTGCATGTGTTAGCTTGTCAATAATGTTATATGGTTTATGTGCAGATTTAAGTATATAAAAACTACGCTGTCTATAAGGATTTTAGAATGTGGAATTTGTATAATTATCATCATCATTGTATTCTAATTCATGAAAAAATCACATGGAGTAAAACTTAATTTTTTTTTTTTTTTTTAGCCAGATGAATTGTACTTTGAAGAAGGTGATATTATCTACATTACTGACATGGTAAGCCCAGCCAATATTTTGTCATAACACGCATGAACTAAAGATGTATAAGACTATTTTGTATAGCTGTAATATTGTACATTATTTACATGTATATCTGTATAGAAATACATATACCCAAGTTCACTCACTGAGCATAATTTGTAATAACGTAAGATTGGAAGTAGCCCTTACTCCATCAATAGGAAAATAGTTCAATAAACTTTGCTGTATCTACAAACAGTATTATGCAGCTATAAAAAGAAGTGAGGAATATCTCTATATGATATTATGGAGTAATTTAAGTGAACAAAAGCAAGGTGAAAAAAATGTGGATAGTGTGCCTTTACTTATGTAAGTAAGAAAGGGTGAGAGGATATACATATTTTCCTCAATTTAAAATAAAAAGTCAAAGGAGGAGTCATAAATTTTTAAAAAGTAGTTTCTTCTCTGAAAGGAAAGGGAAAAGGGTAGAGGAAACATAGATGGAATATAGACTTTTTAAAAATTACACCTTGTTTTGGAGATCTGTCTTTGGAATCATGTAAACTTTTGCATAGTTATAGAATTAAATTAAATGATAAAAAGCAATCCCTAAAAATTAAAAGCAGAATGAATCAAATGAACTTAGTTGTACCCCAGGTATTTGGCATGACACACAGAGAGGAACTATTCCAAGTGACTTTAAAACTCAGCATTTCAACTGAATATCTCTAGTAGAATAATATGAAGAACAAAAAGAACTTCTACCCCAAATTATAAACAGTTTTTAATCATGATGTTGGAGAAGTGTTGGTATTGTTATTCTGAGATTGATGCATGTGTACTGCAGTTTAGAGCAAATGAGTCATTAAGTCAATGATGTAGAAAACTGGCAGTTTCAGCCTGCAAGAAAGGATGTACAGATAGATGTAAGATCAATGAAGTTAAGTCGCTCTGCATTTGAATTGGAAGTATGTTGTATATTATCTAAAATAAAATAAACAAGAAGATTTCTGCTCTGTCCTTTGAAAAGGCCAAAAAAAAAAAAAAAAAGACCAACCTAATAATAATATGTTATTTCCCATTAAAAGGAACAAAGTTCCTTTGAGAAATGTCTGGTACCAGGTTGGGGGCAGGAAAGGTACAAGATAATCCCAGGACATCTCGTTCTTAGAAAGCAAGGAAACTCCCAAAGACTACTAGGGTCACACTGGAAGGACACAGAACTAAATTGAAGAGGCTGCCACTGGTCAAAGATAGGACAATTTGAGCAATCAGTTAGGGCAACAATCCCAAGGATTGAAACAAATCTACTCTGTTTAAATCCATGAGCTCCTAATGATACTTAAAAACAAAAATCATTGGTCAACCTGAGAGAATGCTAGGGAACCAACTTTTTATTCTGATGACTCTTAAGGAAAAGAATCAGTATTTATTCTGACAACTCTAAAGGAAAAGAATCAGTATTTATTCTGCCTTTCTCCATGAACTTTATCTCTGGGTAACCTGAGAGTTGATGAGGGAAAGTTCGTCTTTAAAGTAATATTCTAGTTATTTAAATGAAGAAGGAATGATAGAATTAGACTGTCACCATTTGCAACCCTTATGAAATAATGGATCCAAATAATGCTCATCAGTGGTTACTAATGTTACAAAAAGAGAGACATTGTGTGTCTCCTGATGGAAGAATCAATGCTACACATGAAATAGTCTTGCTAAAAAATTGAATCTGAATCTAATTAAGCCTCTAGAACTAATGACCGATTTATAGGCAATACAGGGAGCAGAGGAACACATTTTTTTGTAACAAGGGATACAACAAGGAAAATCCAGACTCTTCCAAACTCTTCGGAACAAACTAGTTTCTATGAAAAGTCTATTGTGAAGGAGTGAAAAAAAAATGAAGGGGGAAACTATACACTGAAAGAGACTTAAGAGGCAAATCGATCAATCATACTGTATGGACTTTATTATAAGACATACTGGAAATTCTGAGTATTGTAGATATTTGATGATATTAAGGAATTATTGTTGAAAAAATTTTAAGCTAGCAAACAAAATAACACATGATAATGGTGTTATTATTATGGAAAAGTCCTTATCTTTCAGAGATTCGTATTAAAATATTTACAGATAAAAGAATATGATGTCTAGAATTTATTTCAGGATAATCTGAAGGGGAGGGAGGTTGTAGGTGAGGTTATGCATGAAACAGTATTGGCCATGAGTAAATAGTTCATGCAGTTAGGAAATGGGTATGTGTAGGTTCCTTATACGGTTCCTTCTACTTTGGTATAGGTTTGAATTTTTCTATGATAAAAAGTTACCAAAAAAGCAAAGGTGAAATAAAGAGATCTTTAGAAAACCAAATATATGCATATCTTGAGACTAAGAGAAATTAGACTCTGGACCAAAAAATCCTACAGATAGTCTAAACTAAACATAATTTTTCCCCTTCTCTTTCATATTTATCTCTGTTTGTTTGAATGTGGAGTCTCTATGATGAAGTGTCTTTGAGTTTTTGCAGGCAGATGTGTGTATATTTGTAATTTAATGATAAGGGGAATGGACATCCATAACTAGGGAGTGAGGAAGCTTGATCAGTGTGACCAGGGCTGATGGACATTTGGTAAAGCAGTAACGCTGCATTTGAATTGGAAGTATGTTGTATTTTATCTAAAATAAAACAAAAAGTGTCAACTGCTCTACCCTTTGAAAAGGCCAAAACGAGGCCAATATGCGCCACATGGTTTTTAAAATGACTGAATGTAAACTGGATTCGGTCCCACTTAATTTAACTCTTCTTTCACCAGAGTGATACCAATTGGTGGAAAGGCACCTCCAAAGGCAGGACGGGACTAATCCCAAGCAACTACGGTAAGTATGGCAGCGGTGGCTTTACTTGGGCTGTACTTTGTGTATTTTCAGTTATCTGGTTCCTGAGGCCTTTCTGCTTCCTGCTGTGGCTGAGAAATCAATGAGTCATTGCCAGCCTAGGGCATGTTCTACTCTGAGCCTCCTCTTAATGGAGTGGTCATGGATGCTGGATGTACTTGAACTTGACTCCTTGGCTTAAGAAAATGCATTGTAACATTCTTGAAAGAACCTAAGGTTTCCAGGGAAATACTTATGGTTTTACTTTATTCAACGCTTAGAACATTTTTCTTTTTCTTTTCTTTCTTCTTTGTTTTTTTTAGACTAGCCCCCCTTTCTTTTGTGATGAAGTAACCTTGCCTTGTTATGTTAATTAATGTTTGGGGCAGTGATGTTCATTAAATGAACATTAGGGCAGTTTGAGGCACTTGAGCAGTGAGACGCACTTCTAGTTGGAAGGGGGACAAAGCAGACTTTCGTAGAAATCAGCAGAGTAAAGTAAAAAGTGCACAGGATTGATAAACAAGGGTCCTGGGTTTTAATCCTTCTTCCACTTCTAACAGCAAGGGACCTTAGTTAGGGTACTTAACTGCTGCCCCTGGGACCGTTTCTCCATCTGTATAACAAGAGGGTTTGATTTAAATCACTTCTCAGGTTCCTTTGGACTTTAGCATTAGATACTTCCTTAGACCAATAGGGCTGACATCAGGCACCAGTTCCAAACACTGGAAGGGGACTTAGAAATTTCAAGGAAGGCAATTCAGAGCTCCTAGGGGAGCGGAGGGGAGGAGGTGGAGGGGAGGAGAGAAAGTGGGGGGAGGGAAATGAGTGAGACCTGGGGCTCAACACATGGGCCCCACTTACCTGGTCTAAGGGCCATATCATTCTGGATTTTAAAAGACTAAGCATTTCTACACTCCTCTAACCTTTGAAATCCCAAATAAACAACTTCTCCAGCTGGTCATAGACTGAGGGTGCAAAATGTTTCTCAGTTGCTAGATCCCTGGTAGGCAAGGGAGTATCTAGTTACAGCCCTTTGTGGTGGGAGGGGTGGGTGTGAAGTCTCATTTGAACAACAGTCTTCATGTGGTCACTCCTACTGATTCTAGGACAGCAGTGAATACACCTTCCTTAGGGGCAGGCAGGTATGCTGATTGCCCGTTCTGAATATAGAAAGCAAAATATTTCTCCTTTACCTCACCCTTCATATCCACACACACAAGGGAGACAATTATTTTTAGCCATCTTCAAAGCAGGGTGTTTTTTTTGTTTGTTTGTTTTTGTGTGTGTGGTACGCGGGCCTCTCACTGTTGTGGCCTCTCCCGTTGCGGAGCACAGGCTCCGGACGTGCAGGCTCAGCAGCCATGGCTCACGGGCCCAGCCGCTCCACGGCATGTGGGATCCTCCCAGACCAGGGCACAAACCCGTGTCCCCTGCATCATCAGGCGGGCTCTCAACCACTGTGCCACCAGGGAAGCCCTAGGGTGTTTTTATAGAATGTAAAAAGGAACCTCAAATGCTTTCTTTTGCACTTTCCTGACTAAATTTGTTGGTGAAATATTTGAGCAAACTGGTTGGCAGACCTTGGATCTGTTTGTTTCTATTTATACTTCCAGTTAATGGCTATGTTTGTTTCTGTTTATACTCCCAGTTAATTGCTGTGTTATTGTCTTAGCTTGGCTTCTTTTGACACATAATTCAGCTTCTTTCAAAGCACAAAACATCACTTTTGATTTTCTGCTATTTTTTAAAACTCACATTAAGTAAGGAAAGCTGTATGGTGGAAGGTCCTGGCACTTCTGAAGCTGGGACACTGAACTGGCTTCAGGGAATCCTTTGGGTGGCCCTCTCAACATTGATTTGCATCTTTTTTTTTTCCATCTAGTGGCTGAGCAGGCAGAATCCATTGACAATCCATTGCATGAAGCTGCAAAAAGAGGTAGGTCTGATTCTTTTTGATTGAGATAAACAGTACAGTAAAACACAGACATATTAATTATGTAGTTTGATGACTTTTAACAAATGCATTTACCTGTGTAACCAACACCCAGATCAAGATCCAGAACATTTCTATCATCCCAGAAAGTTCCCTTCCCAGTTAAATCCTTGCCTCCCCCAGAGGCAATCTCTGTTCTGGCCTTCTTTCACTCTATAGAAATGTGTGATTTTAATTTTTAAAATGTCAGTCAACAAATAACTTTTGAGTCTTACCTGCCCTGTGCTTAGTTGCAAGTGGAAAGTCATGCTCTGTGACTCGCAGAGCTCAAAGTCTGGCAGGGGAGAGATGTGTGTAGCAGATCATTACAAGATGGTGTGATAAGTATAGCGGTTGAAGTGTGTTTCAGTTAAACAGGCTATAGAGGCCAGAATGAGTAACAGGAGGGCAGAGGGTGGGGGCTTCTCAGGGGTCCAGCACCTGGGAGAGTGTTAGTATATTGCAAGTATGAATGGTGAGGTTGGGGTTGGGGAGGAAGGAAGCACCAGGGATGGGGCTTGTACGTGGGGCTTTGTTCCATAGATCAGTGGCTCTCCACAGAGGGTAATTCCTCTCTGCAAACCCTGGGACATTTGGCAGTATCTGGAGGCATTTTTTTGTTTGTTTGTTTGTTTGTTATTTTGCGGAACGCGGGCCTCTCACTGTTGTGGCCTCTCCGGTTGTGGAGCACAGGCTCCGGACGCACAGGCTCAGGGGCCATGGCTTACGGGCCCAGCCGCTCCGCGGCATGTGGGATCTTCCCGGACCGGGGCACGAACCCGTGTACCCTGCATCGGCAGGCGGACTCTCAACCACTGCGCCACCAGGGAAGTCCTCTGGAGGCATTTTGACTGTCATAACTGGGGGGATGCTGGCACCTTTTGCGTAGAGGCTGGGGATGTTGCTAAACATCGTGCAGTACAGCCCCCATAACAAAGAACCCTCCAGCGCCAGATGTCAGTAGGGCCGCTGTTGAGAAACCCTGCTGTAGATCGTGGGGAATTTTTTATAAGGCCACAGTAAGCTCTCTTTCATTTAATTGTAGATATTTCTGAAATCTGAATGTGCAAAAGGAAATTATTGGTTTAGGATTGTGCATAAGTAGAACTACTAAATTGACATTTAAAAAATTCTTTGTAAACTAGATATTTAGGGCATTAGCCACAGGATATTAAATGAATAGTTATACTTTAACATATAAGAGCAGCAGCTTTGAGTAGGTTATTTAGTTTTTCTTTTCTTATAGGAACTGAAAATGCATTTTAAATATGAATATGAGTAGTATCTGCTTGTTCTTAGGTTTGAAATTTTTTCCCGAAGTTCCAGGATTTCACAAAGGAAAAAAAAGCTTTTTTTACAGAGTAAAAATACCTTAAATGGACCCATTTAGGCAACTCTTCCCATTAACCTACCATTAAAAATTGATGTTAATGCTTTCCATTAATAAACTGGAAGTCAAAATGTACCATAGAGAATGCGTTATGGGGCAGGTTTTAATTTCAGACTTACTGATTAATCCTTTGCAAATGCGAATTTATGCAGGATGAAATTGATTGAAAAGCAAAACGAAAAAAACTAAAACCCTTTTTCATGTGTTTTTATAAATGTAAAATGTTTTCAGGCAACTTGAGTTGGTTGAGAGAGTGTTTGGACAACCGAGTAGGTGTTAATGGCTTGGACAAAGCTGGAAGCACCGCCTTGTACTGGGCTTGTCACGGGGGTCACAAAGGTATTACATTTTGTTTGTTATCATAAATATCTGTGCTACTGAAAATGTGCTTCATCTAGGGGAGCCAGAGTTACACAAATGAAAAAAAAATTGGTTATTCTTTTTAAATTTTTCAGAATGTCAGCCAAAAGCCCAGTCCCTGGAAGTTCTGTAAAACAGTAGGTAGAATGTGACTGGTCAGCCTCACTACACAGACCTTTTCACTTGAAGGAGTGGAAGCTTCCTTTCCTCTCTCAGACTTGCAAAGGTCTGAGAAAACAGGAAAACAACAGTAATATAAAAACAACCCCCACTGTCTAATCTCACAGAAGAAAGGACCAGAATTGATTCCTCTGACTTAGTTTTTCCCAGGAAGCTTTTTTTTTTTTTTTTTCGGTACGCGGGCCTCTCACTGTTGTGGCCTCTCCCATTGTGGAGCACAGGCTCCGGACGCGCAGGCTCAGCGGCCATGGCTCACAGGCGCAGCCGCTCCGCGGCATGTGGGATCTTCCCAGACCGGGGCACGAACCTGTGTCCCCTGCATCAGCAGGCGGACTCTCAACCACTGCGCCACCAGGGAAGCCCTCCCAGGAAACTTTTATGATTTACATTCTAAGCTTAAGATTTAGGAAAGAGACAGCATTTGCTTGAGTTGGTGATTCAGTTGATAACTTCCTCTGTTATAATCAATAATAATGACAAATGGAATTTCTAGATGTATTTCAGCCTGGCTGAGAATCTACCACACCCACTCTCTTTCTCCCTCTCTACAACACACAGAAAATGATCCCAACAGTAATGAGAAACAAAGAATCCAACAAATTAAATAGCGTGGCCAAAGGAAAATTTAAACACAAATTAGTGGTATGAATATTAAGTGCCCCAGCAAATGTAAAAATATTCCTATCATAGATGTCATGTGAAAATACAAAAGCCAAAATATTAGAAAAAAATTTTCCCTAAGTAATTCTACCTTTTATAGTCTTAGGTCTTCTATTTACATAAATGTTGAAAACTTTGTTATAACGATTTTCTTGATGATTCTTCTAAAAAGAATCCTCTCTTTTAAAATTATTATGCTGAGTTTTGTCAGACTTTTAGTCTCCTTCTTTAAAAAATCTTTTCTATTTGAATTTCAGATATAGTGGAAGTGCTATTTACTCAACCAAACATTGAACTGAACCAACAGGTGAGATTGCTTATGCAGAAGCCATTTAACCCACCTACCTTGCTCTCCTCGTACAGCTTATGTGTGTGTAAAATCCTGTCTTGGGGTCTTGGAACTCACCTTTTCCCATTTATTATTTTTCATAAAACTTTTAATCAAAATACAACAAGCACATAGTTAAAAAATTATGATTAAAGTCCAAATTGCATAAAGCCCCCAATTCCTGCCATACTCCTCCTCGTATATCACTTTCAGCTTTTAGTGCTTTCCTCTTACCTTCATGTTACTAAGGAATATGCTTGTGGAGCTGTCTAATAATTCATCATCTTCATAAAGTATTTTGGTATCCTATCTGGTAGGTGAAGGTTTACGCTTGTCAACCGCCCAGCTGTCATCTTCCAGCACCAGCGCCCAATCTTTCCTCCTCCGGTCCTCCTAATGTTTCATACATAGCATAGTTTTTGCTTATATTACTATATAATGCTTATGGTATTATGGCTATTTAAATATCATTCACTGCTTGTGTAACTTTTTTGTTTCTGTATTTATTGACTTTTATTTAGTGCTTTTTTTTTTTTTGTATTTCACAAAGACCTCGACACTGTTTTATACTCTCTTGATATACTTTTCTAAATTGTATAAGATAATTGCTTTCTTTCTTTTCTTCCTGGAATCATACTGAAGCCTTCCATCTTCATTCTCTGATCGGAGCAACTTGGTCTCTACTGCCCTTTGCTGTCTTCCTGGGAAACGCTTCACCTCTCTCCTGTGTTGTGTCCTCACTTTTCTGGATCCTCTGTCTTCCATTTGTTGAAGAATACCTTCAAGTAAATTCCTGAGAAAGGGGAGCTTGGGCTTGACTATTTGGCTGATAGAATTCTGGGTTGAAAATGACTTCCCTCAGAATTTTACAGGCATGGCTCCATGGTATTCTAGTTTCCCGGGTTGCTCTTGAGAGGTTTGATACCTTTTTGAGTCCCATTCTTTGTGTATTAACTGCTTTTTCCCTTTTTTATTTGGCCGTGCTGTGAGGCTTATAGGATCTTGGTTCCCTGACCAGGGATTGAACCCAGGCCTCTGGGCCCTCAGCAGTGAAAGTGCAGAGTCCTAACCACTGGGCGGCCAGGAAATTCCCTGCGTTTTCTCATGATTAGAATTTTACTCTATCCATGGTATTCCAAACTTTCACAATGATGTGCTTTTAGAATGGGTCTTTGCCTGAAAATGGTAGTGAACTCTTTCAGCCTGGAAAAATATCTTGTATTATTTCTTATATATTTTTATCTGTTTCCTTTGCTCTTTGGTTCTGGAATGCCCATTAGTAGCTATGTGGGACCTCTCAGATTGAGCCTCTAATTTTCTTAGTTTTCCTCAGAGGTTTTCTCATCTTTGTGTTTTATTTTGGTCGCCTTTTTAATTCCCCAGAGCATTGTATTAGATCTCTGTTGCTGTGTGACAAATTGCCACATATTTAGCAACTTAAAATATACCCATTTACCTTATGCTTTCTGTAGGTGAGAATTCTGGGTGGCGTAGCTGGGTTTCCTGCTCAGGGTCTCACAGGTGGGAATCAAGGTATTGGCTGGAGTGGGGTTCTCATGTGGAGCTCGAGTCCTATTCCAAGTTCATTCATGTTGCTGGGAGAATTGTGTTCCTTGCACCTATGGTACTGAGGCCCTCAACTTTTAGAGACCACCCCTCCTGATGGACAGTTCACAACATGGCTGTTTGCTTTCTTCCTCAAGGCCAGCAGGAGATTGTGTTGCTGGTGCTATGCCTTTCCTTATAAGGGCCCACCTGACTAGGTCAGGTCCACCCAGGGTAAACATCAACTGATTAGAAAATATGGGCATGATATCCTGTTATATTCACCGGTCTCACCCACTCTCAAGGGGAGGAAATTATACAGGGAGGTGTATCCCAGGGGGCAGGGAGCTTGAGGGCTGTCTTAGAATTCTTTCTACCACAAGCTCCTCCTTTTACTCTTATTTTTACTTTTACATAGCATCTTTTTGTCATTTCCTAACATAATGTCATATTATATCTCTGATATATTAATTATATATATATTTTAAAACATTTTCTGCTATTCACTACACTGTGTCTTTTTCCTCTGAGATCCATTAGCTTTGTTTTGATCTTTCTTTGGATATTGGAGGCTGTCCTCAAATATACAGTACCTTTGTCTGTCCATTCATGTTTGAGTGTGACTGAAAGCACTGTGTGCTTGTGGGGCTTATTGACTGGTGGTTTTCTCCGTAGGGTGAAGTGGTGAGGTCCTGGATGTTCTGCTGGCTTATACCCAGATGCCAGTTAAAATATTCCCTTCCTCCCCCGCATTGGGACTGTTCAGCTCTCCCAGAAAAGTATTCTCCAGCCTCCTCCCTGGGCGTAGATGCTAGACTGTACACACTGGGGCACTGGGGTAGGTAAAGGCAGCTGGGAGAGGGGTCTTACTGCTCAGTTTGCAGGTTTTTCAGCTAGCCCCCTGCTTTTAGTTCCTAGCCTAATTGCCACCTTCTCTTGTGCCTGCAAGTTCCATGAGCTTGGAAGCTATCTGGTTAATTTCTCAACAGGGTAATTCTACCATGTGTACTGGGTCATCTGGCAGCAGGGAGAAAGGAAGGTGATCTGGGGTTCTGGGGTTCTAATTACTCCTGAGAAACACTTTCACCCAGTACTCTTGGTTTCACTCCCATGCCTCATTCCTGCTCCCGTGTCTCCAGGCATCTCCAGTTCCTAATTCATGCTGGTTTCTGCAGAGACAAATCTGCTTGTTTCCTCCTGGCGTCTCCCTCTGCAGGCATCTGCACTTCCACTTGTGCACTTCCACTTCTCCTCTTCCATCCCATTCCCTTTCCCCAAATGACTCACCTCTCATCTTTTGAGTCTCCTTTCCCTCTTTGGAATTTTATATGATTTTATAACTTCGTTCTCATTTTAGATTTACTTAGGTTAGAGTAAACCTAAATTCATGCACGGTTTCAATCCACACTCTCTTTTTAAAATGCTGCTTTCTCTTGTTATATCACCATAGAACAAGTTGGGAGACACAGCTTTGCATGCTGCTGCCTGGAAGGGTTATGCAGATATTGTCCAGTTGCTTCTGGCAAAAGGTAAAGTGTGCTTAGTTTTTCTGGTCTTTGCTTACCCTGAAAAATAGGCTACGTCCACTTTTACCACTTGAAATAGTAGGGAAAACAATAGGATTCTTATTTTAAAACTGGAATTGTGGTCTCTACTCTGTCTGCATCACGGAGTTGTTATCATAAAATTGAGGTGATTTGTGTAAGCTTTTAATTTTAACTCAAAAGCTTGGTAAGCTTTAAAATCACATATATTACCCTCAGTAAGAATTTATTGTACATTTCTGCAGGATTAAAGGGCCTCAGAAAGAAGGTGTGTGTGTGTGTGTGTGTGTGTGTGTGTGCATGCGCACACATGTGCATGCACACATACAGAGGAGATCTCTCTAAGAAAGCTGTATGGGTGAAGTTGCTGAGGCCCCTGTTCTCACAGGAAAGCTTGATAGATAAGAAGGAATGCTGTGGCTGCGATGTCCTGCTTTGAGCTGAGCAGATGCTAGATGTACAGAAAACAAGAAGATACGTTGATTCCCTGTTTTTACACAAGTCAGAAGCAGCAGTGAAATTATGGACTCACCATCCATTCATCTGTTTGTCCCACAAATATTAGTTAACCCTTATAGAAGGCCAGGGATATCACCCCGTACTGCACCCTGGTCTAGAAGGCTGTAATATAGGATGCTTGAATCCCCAGCCTACATGTCACATGGATGCAGTATCATTAGGGATCCTTGGAGCAATGTTGTGGGTTATATGAGAGGAAATGTTTTTGATTTAAAGGATGTTGATGATGTAAACTCCAGGTGCAAAAGATCAGACACCTTGAGGACCACTGTAGTGCCCCCCAGAGGTATGCCAACATCTGCACTGTCTGCTATGGCAGCCACTAACCACACGTGCTACTGAGCCCTTGAAAGGAGGCTAGTCTGAATTGAGATGTGCTGTAAGTGTAAGATGAATACCAGATTTTGAATACTTAGTAGAAACAAAAAGAGTGAAGTAGCACAGTAATTTTCATATTGGTTACATGATGAAGTGATAACACTTTGGATATACTGGGTGAAATGAAATATATTCTTAAAATGAATGTCACATTTTGAAAACGTAGCCACTAGAAAAATTTAAATTACGTCTATGGCTCACATAATTTTCTTCTGGGCCGCGCTGGTTGAGAGGGACACAGGAAATGGTTGAGTTTCTTCTCTAGCATCCTGTCTCTGAACATTTCCCATCCTGACAGAAATCATGTATGTGAGTTCTCAAGTGTAAAGTAAGGTATGATCAGTCACAGAACTATGAACCTGCAGGATGTTTGACCTGTAGTACAGCGAGAGAATGAGGTTTTCCCTATAACCCCAGCTGTGGATATCTAAATCTGTTCATGAGAGATTTTCACACATGGTCACCGTATTCCTAATTAAACATACTATTCTTTTCTTGACAGTATTTTTGTGCCTTTGAGTTTTAGGACATTTATATTTTGTTTACTGACGAGGATGTGGTTGTAGAGAAAATGGCACTCTCAAACACTGTGGCAGAGAGTGTAAATTGGTAAGCCTTCTTGGCAGGCAGTCTAACAGTAGCTAGCAGAATGAAAACATACATATCCTTACATTTCAGCACCACTTCTAGGAAACCATCCTTCAGAAATGCATATAAACAAAGATGTTGTTCAAGGAGGTTCACGGCAGCATTGTTTGTGATAATGAAAATTAGGAAAAGCCTAAACACCCCTCAATAGAGGAGTGGTTAAATAAATTTTGGAATACCCACAAAATGGAATAATTATAAATATTTAAATAGATTGGGTTATAAGTATGTGTACTACTAAGGAATGAATACGATAATATATTATTAAGTTAAAAAAATCAAAACTGGTGGTTACCAGGGAGGAGAGGGAGGGAAAGGGGTAAGATAGGGGTAGGGGATTAAGAGGTACAAACTACTGTGTATAAAATAAATAAGCTACAAGGATACATGGTACAACACAGGGAATATAGCCAATATTTTGTGACAATTATAAATGAAATATAACCTTTAAAAATTGTGAACCCCTATGTTATATACCTGAAACTTATAAATATTGTACATCAACTAAAAAAAAGGAAAATATCATTGGCAAAAAAAAAATCAAATTACAGACTAATACATGGAGTATGATTTTGTGTATATGTCCACATATGTCTGTGAATGCATTCTTGCACATAAGGGAGATGGGAACTGATGCCCACTTGTTGGGAATGGTCACCTCTGGGGAAGGTAGAAGATGGGGAAGGAAGGGGTTAGTTGCAGGCTGAAATGAGACATAAGCTTTTGTTCAGCATACATCTGTATTTTTGAATCTTTGACAATGAGAAAGATTTATGAATTCTGATGTAATTTATCACATAATAAAGACAAGGAAAAAAGGGAGTAGAAGATGGGCTGTGGGAACAATGGATTGCCTCTAGATTTTAGTGTTACTAATTCTGCTAATAAGCATGAGAGTATACTTAAGATAAATATTAATCTCCTCAAGCTCAACTTACATGGTCTTTTCTAAAGACCTTCTTGAAAAGAAGAGGCAAAGGATGTATTGAATTTAATCTCCAAAAACTCGTGCCAAGGCACGTTGAGTCTAACTGATTTACTGTCCACAGGGACAGTCAACTCCTCACTGAAAAGTTCACATGCAATTCTATAGGGACTCGAAAGGAAGGCTATATTTTAATTGTGTATAATTATTACAGGTGCAGCAATAAGCTCCCTGATTAAAGCTGCCAAATATGTTATTACTGTTTTGAGAAAGTTTTACTGTTTGGAAAGAGCCTAGTTCGGGGCCAGAATGGTTCTCTAGTTAGTTCTGCCAAAAGAGATTCGTTTTGATGGAAAGAGGATTGGCTGCTATATAATTAACACTACTGTTTGTTATATAAGAAAGTTGTTAAGAGAGTAAATCCTAAGAGTTCTCATTACAAGGAAAAAAAAATTTTATATTCTTTTAATTTTGTATCTATATGGGATGATGGATGTTTACTAAACTTACTGTGATAATCATTTCATGATGTTCATAAGTCAAATCATTATCTGTACACCTTAAACTTATACAGTGTTGTGTGTCAATTATATCTCAATATAACTGGAAGAAAGAAAAGAGAAAGAGAAAAAAGAAACTAAAAAAAAAAAAAAAAGGTTTGGCTGCTACTATAGAGTCTTCAAAACACCTAATTTACTTTCTTGTGTTGGGGAAGGTGCTAGAACAGACTTAAGAAACAATGAGAAGAAGCTGGCCCTGGACATGGCTACTAATGCTGCCTGTGCGTCTCTCCTGAAAAAGAAACAGGGAACAGGTACTTGATTTTAATCCTTCCTCCTCCTGATGCCATCATGACTAAGAGTTATCGATTTAATATTAGGGAAGATTTTTTCTTGGTAAATTCTTCAGGTGATTCTGAAGTTAGATTTTACATCCTTGGTCTGAATCAGAACTTCAACATGGAAGAATACCTTTATGCAAACAAATTTGAAGAGACATCGATTTTTTGCTATGATTAGTATGTTTCTTTTATTCCTTGCAATCAAGTTCTAATTACTTTGCTTTCCATTACAGTCCTTATCAGAGAACCATTGTTTCCATATTCTCATTTCAGATTTGTTTTTATGAGTGGTTATCACTAAATATTTTTTAATTATGCATTCAAGAGCTTTATGATTATATTTTGTTTCTATTTTAAATGAGGGTATCACAATTATTTGTAATCAAAATTTTGTAATCAAAATTATTCTAGACTTCGTAAATGTATCGGTATCTCTTCACAGTTCTATGCGTGGTTTTTTAAAGATAAGAGTGTATATTCTTTTTTTAAAAATTAATTTATTTTTGGCTGTGTTGGGTCTTTGTTGCTGCACACAAGCTTTCTCTAGTTGCGGCGAGTGGGGGCTGCTCTTCGTTGCGGTGCACGGGCTTCTCATTGCGGTGGCTTCTCTTGTTGTGGAGCACGGGCTCTAGATGCGTGGGCTTCAGTAGTTGTGGTACACACGCTCAGTAGTTGGTGGCTCGCGGGCTGTAGAGCACAGGCTCAGTAGTTGTGGCGCACGGGCTTCGTCGCTCCGCGGCATGTGGGATCTTCCCAGACCGGGGATCGAACCCGTGTCCCCTGCATTGGCAGGTGGATTCTTAACCACTGCGCCACCAGGGAAGTCTGAAGATAGAGTATATATTCTTAAAGATAATATCTATTGATGTAGGAGAAGAGGTTTGAAAAGTTCACATGCAATTCTATAAAAATGAAGAGTTTGTGTGGTGGTTTTGAAAAGGTGTCAAAGGAAAGAAGAGGTGTTAAACACATTTGCACTGTTCGTGATTACTATTCAGAGATTGGCTGTTGATTTGACTTCTCAGTATATAGCCTGCTGAATGTGCTCCCCTAGATTCATTCTAACATGGTGATTCCAGAAAGGAGTACTGGGAGTGGCAGGGTGTGAACTCTGCCACCTCTCCTCTGCCACCTCTCCTCTGTCCCTCTTTCATTTATCATCAGTCTCCTGGCCCATGAGAAACCCAGAGAGGTAGAAAAAAAGAAAGGTGGAAGATGCTTGGTTGGAGGGAACATTTGATCTCTTTTTTCTCACTTCTCAAGCCTTATTTTACTTAATTATCTCCTGTTTGGCACTTTAATTCCACTTTGAAGTATAAGCCTGTAATGGATACATTTTTACTGCCGTTTTCTAGAAAGGAACTAGTGTAATGGAGGATTCACCTTTTGCAAGTCTTTGCATTGCTACTCATCATTCTGGACTCTTTTAGTATCGCTTTAGAGTCTGAAGTTTAGACTGGTTCATGTTGGTGGAGAATCACCAAGACACCTTTTTAGAAATTTCCATTATAGAGGCTAAGTGCATGTGTTTTCATTTTATCCTTAGGGTATTATCATTTTCAGAGTTCTCCAACTTGGGTAATGAGATGCTCATTTCTGTTTCTATCATTTGAATCAAATTCCCATTAATGTTTGAACCCTTGGAAAACTTATTTCTCCCTCAGGTATCCCTTGATTTATGAGAAGAGTCAATATTATGCTGTCCCGTATTCCATTTCTAGCATAAGCAGCGAAGTATATCAGTCCCCTGGTTTCCTGCTTTAGTCAATTAAAGAAAGCAAACAGCCCCCCTCTCTTTGTGGCTTACCAAGGGAACTTCCCAGAATCATCTTCCTTACCTATCATCAAATTCCCATCATAATTCTCACAAATCCATTGTTCCGTTTGTCCCTTATTTCAGATAAGTGTTTGTTCCAGATTCTTATTTAACCTCAGTTCAGGTATAATGTAAACTATTAAGCAGTTAGGGACTTCTTAATTATTTAAGCCATGAATGTTTGCTGGCAGAGCAAGTCTTTCTTTAAAGTAATTACTCATGCATAGATGTGTATAGGTTCTACCAAATGAGTGAGAAAGTGTTTACCAGCTGAGTGGTGCTCCCTAGCTACATTTTGACTGAGAAGCCGTATTTGCAGCCTTGTGGGAGAAACACTTTTACTTGAGGTGGACCTCTCACGCCCTGCTGCCTTGGTTGGGTCAGGAAGAAGGACTATGACCTAATTTCCTTTCTCTGCCACTGACTTCCTGCCGCTATATGGGCACCTCCAAAACATCCTGACTGAGGAGTAAGGTTTCTTATGAGCTAACGGTTATCAGGGTCTCATGCACACTATGAGTTTGATGGTGACCGACAATGAAAATATCACACCTGCTCAGACCCCAGAGAGCTACACCCAGAAGCCTCCACATGAACAACTGGAGCTGGAAGAGGCACGTGGCAAACTTTTCTCTTTTTCTCCTCATTTTTCTGTAGTCTTTGTAGAAAAGGGCAGGGACGTTGGTGTTCTGTTTCTCTGTTTACTCCAAGTTTCTTTAGTTTACCTTCTTAAATTTGTGCTCTACTGATTTCAGTAATGAGGTAATTAATCTTGGGGCCTGGCACACAGAGCCAAGAAATGAATCTTCGTATTTCATTTTTCATGTTACCTTTTTCTCTGTTTTCTTTTTCTTCATTTGCCCAATTATCCAGTTTAAAAAATTTTAATTTGTATTTTGATCCTCGTTGGAATGAGAGTTTGAATATTTGGCCATATAGCAAATTGCCAGCATGAGCTCTAAGCCAGAGGAGGTATATTCTAACATCGTGGTCCACTTTTAAAAGCACATCTTGAGGGCTTCCCTGGTGGCGCAGTGGTTGAGGGTCCGCCTGCCGATGCAGGGGACGTGGGTTCGTGCCCCGGTCCGGGAAGATCCCACATGCCGCGGAGCGGCTGGGCCCGTGAGCCATGGCCGCTGAGCCTGCGCGTCCGGAGCCTGTGCTCCGCAGCCGGAGAGGCCACAATGGTGAGAGGCCCGCGTACAGCAAAAAAAAAAACAAACAAACAACAACAACAAAAAAAACAAAAAAACCCACCACATCTTGAATTTCTTATAAGGACAAAATAATTTACATGTTACAGTTACCATGAAGGGTAACTTTAGGATATAGGGTGGGGTCAAGGCATACTTGAGGATTGAACCTTTCAGTTCTTTTTCCAATTTTTAAAAACTAGGGTATAATTTACATTAAGTAAAGTACATAAATCTTAAGTGTACATCTTGATGATTTTTTTTTTTACTGTGCTTACACTTTTTTTTAAATTCATTAACCTGATTTAATCCACAATGAAATTAACCTTTTTTTTTTTTTTTTTTTTTCCGGCCGTGCCACACGGCATGCAGGATCTTAGTTCCCCAACCAGGGATTGAACCTGGGCCCCCTGCAGTGGAAGTGCAGGGTCCTAAGCACTAGACCGCCAGGGGATTCCCACTGTGCTTAAACTTATTAACCATAACCCAGATGATAGAGGACATTTCCCGCACAACAGAAGCCTCCCTCAGAATCCTCTCCTTCTCTCACCATAGATTAGTTTTGCCTGTTTTCAAACTTGATATAAATGGAATCAAACAGTGTGTGCTTTTTGGTGTCTAACTTCTTTCACGTTACACGTCTATGAGATTTTACATGTTATTGTGTTTATCCCTCCACCGTTTGTTTATTTATTTGTTTGTTTGTCTATCTAAGTTCTGGTGCTTTGGAACATGTAAATCCAGGGCAGTGAGAATGAGAAAAAATATGGAAGTGAGGTAGGGGAGGCTGAGAAGCACTACTAGGGGATACATTACCATGATAGTCATGCCCCAAGACGGGCTATGAAGATACCGCTCATTATCAGCACTTGGCCATATGAGAAGTTTCCAGAGAAACTGTGCCTCAGAGCAGTCCACAGAAGGAAGGAAGGAGAAGTTTATTTGCCTGGCTCTCACTTTCTATTTGGTCAGAATTTGCACCGTGGCCAGTCATCTTCCTCTTGCTTAAAGCAAAGTGCCAAAGTAACCATTGAAGGACAAGGAATATCTCCAATATTGAAAAACACAGGTTTGTAGTAGCAGAGTAGAAAGGGGAAGAGCTTTGCTATTTGTCTTTTTGTCTTTAGCTTAAAAGGCTACTTTTACCAAGTTCATGGCCAGTCCTGAAGTTTGTGGGTGTGTATGGAACAGAACAAAATACCTTCCTCCCAGGTCTAGAACTCCTCTTAAGGAGAATGGAGAAGAGTACAGTCAACCCGGAGACTTCTAATAGTTTGGAAGCTGAAGTCGTTGAAGGCCACCTCTGTTCTGCGTAAAGCCACTTGTTCTTCTACCTTTCTTTCTCTCTTGTATAAGATAAATCGGTTTCTATATCCCTGCCCTCTCCCCTGCCCCTTCCTTTCAATAATCATTTTTCTAAACCTATGAAGACTTAAAAAAAACTACAGTATCATCAAACGTCTTGTGATGGTCTAAATTTACCTTTTTCTCTTGCATGTTTTTTATTCTTTGCTTATTTATTTATGTTTTTTTTAAGTAGGGTCCCAACTGATAGCTATGTCTCTTGTTTCTTTGTTTTTCAATTAATGTTTCCTTTTCCTCTCCTTTTCCTCTTTGTTTAGCCTTGCAGTTTATTTGTTAAAGAAACTGGACCAATTTCCCTGAATTTCCCAATGTAGACATCGCATGCATGCATTCCCATGGTGTTGTCATGCTCCTCTGTCGTCTGTATTTTTGTCAATTGGTGTTACAGCTAGAGGTTTGATTAGATTTGGATTCTATCTATCATCTATTGATCTATCTATCTACCTATGTATCTATCTATCTTAGGGATAGAGGGAAGAATACTTCATAAAGAAAATTGTGTTCTTCTACCAGAGGCGCATAGTATCTGTTTGTCACTTGTCCTGCAATGTTAGCATCCATAGATGATCATTGTCTAGATTCATTATTTCACTAATGGTTGCAAAATGGTGATATTCTAATTTTGTCACTCCTTTCTTGGTTATTAGTTGGAACATTCTATAAAGAAAAATTTCCCCTTATCAAATCTTTGGTTACTCGAGCAATAGTTTGTATATCAGGGGCAGAATAAAGCCTTGATTTTTATTTACCTTTTAAGAGTTTTCAAAATAACCTGCTGGTTCCCTGTTATTTTTCGAAGGGGGCCAATGAATTCTCTTTGGTGTGTGTTGAAATATTTGCTGTGTTTTAATCCAGCATAGTTTCCTTACTGGTAGCCTATCTTTGGCTAGTGGAGGCCTCTTCTGGTTGGATCCTGAGCCCTTTTAAAATGATGCTGTCTTTTGCTAGGATCCTTGTTTTATGGCATAACAAGAGGTTTCAAGTCTCTCTTTTACAGTTTCTTCCCCAGACTTGGAATCAGTCATATCTCCAATGAGCATGGGCTTATAGTATTTAGAGACCATGTTCTGGGTGCTATATATAACATACATTTATTGAGCTCTAACAATGTGCTTATACTGCATTTCAGTTTTCCCCTTAAAACTATACCTCGTGTAACCTGTTGCTATAGGAATTTGACGAGACAGTTTGAATTTGACTGGACAGGTGAACAGTTAAAGATCAGATGTCTTCCTTTTGAACTCTGTTTAAGGTTGACTTAACATTTGATGGGGTTCAGCTCTTTCTATTTTAAAACTTTTATTTTTCAATTCAGTTTCTTTTGCTTCTGAGTATACTTTATCAATGTTTTCTAAAACGAAACTGAAGCTTTTGTGTTTTCATTCTCTTTCTTTTTCTTTTCCTTTTCCCCCCCTCATTAGTTATCTTTCTACCCAGTGACCTTGCCCTCAGGTAAGGCCACAGGTTGTCGACTGACTGAAGCCACCTGTGCACTTGTCATTGGGAAAGGAGGTTGGATGCACAGTTGTCAGGGTGGACGGGCTTCTGGTGTGTTCCACATTGGTCATGGTGCATGTGGCTGTCGTATTTTGTTTAAGGTAGACTAATGGTACCTCAGCACCATGTGCTTTACTTTTCTGCATGTCTAGGTAACATGCAGACAAATGTATTTGTCAGCCTCTGTGGCAACAGAAACTAATCAGTTAGACTGGAAAGCAAAAGTAGAAAAATATCCTTGGAGAAAATACAACCCGTAGGTCTGAGGGAAGATTACAGTGTTTTGAATTGTCAGGAGCTTTGAAAGTGAAAACAAAATCTGAGCCATTTGTAATTTCTCTGTTTTGCTTTTCCCCCATTCCTTTTAGATGCAGTCCGAACATTAAGCAATGCCGAGGACTATCTTGATGATGAAGACTCAGATTAATTCCTTTCCAGAGCTTTGAGATCTAAAACTTGTGTTGCTTTTGCCATTTCAAAACCTTGTCTTTGCCAGAAGAGTGTTGGTAACTGTAAAAAAAGAAAAAAAAAAAGTCTATATGAACGTGGCAGTATTGCACTGTTTGAATAAAACATGTAAATGAATAGGTCTCACCTTCAGTTTGCCAATAAGTGACTGGATATTTTGTGTATAAAGTACATTTTTGTTCACCAGAGTAGAACAAGAAGAGATTATTTCTATTTATCAAGCTTAAAAGAATTTTAAGAAATTTTTTCTTTAAAAAAATTGGGATTTTTTTTTTTTAAAGTTCTTTACCTCAAGGATTGAGATAGTTTGAATGGATTTTTCAAGGGGGGAATGCTTATTATAATAATAAACTGAAAGACTTAATAGAAAATCGTCAGCTATTCTGACAAAAATAAACATTTTAAGAGACTTTATTTCCTTTGTTTTGTGGTATCACTCTTTGCTGGTAAATAAATAAAGCTTTTTATATTTATATTTAGGTAAAGACTGATTTGATTTTTTAAATAACATTTTGTATTATTAGCACAGAAGAATCATAGTAGCCAAATTTTCTTTCTTTCTTTTTTTTTTTTTCTGGATACAGTGTATTTTATTGATGGTACATGACAAAGTAGGGCTCCCTAAGCCCCTCCCCTTCTTTAGGGGGTCTGGGATGGAAATCGTGTGGAGGTCAGGAGATTCTCAGTGTCTTGGGGGATCCCGTTGGCATAGTAGCCAAACTTCTGTTCAGCCTTCTATATCTGCTTTGATTAAAGTGAAGACAACAGTCATTGAGGAGATACATTTCTAATAAAATATATAAACTTTAATAATTATGAGACTTTCAATTTTCTCTCCAATGTTGGCCTTAATATGAAGAAACCCAGCAACTCATTAAAGTTTGCTTAAGGTTTAAAAGATTAAAAAATTGATTTCCTTATTATGGAAGCTGCTATAATTTTTCATAATGGAGTAGCGTTCAGTTTTTCACTTTGGTGACAATTATTTTCTCTAAACATGGCTCTACCTTGTAATGATCTGGATTCTTTTGCTAAAACATCAGTTTAACATTGCAGGGAGCCTTCTGTACTACTGAAGTGACACTTCATTTGAGATTCTAATCTTGTATCACTGCAGTGATGATATTAGAAATGACACAGCCATTGGCATTTGCCCGGATTCCAGGCCCCAGACCCAGAAGTATATTTTGCAAGAAGCCTTTGATGCTAATTTCAAAAACACACATTGATGAAGAGAAGAAAATGTCTGAAGAAGGAAGTGGGTTAGCTCAGGAAATGAATAACTGCCTTTAGAGGAGTTTCCTCTGTCTGTGACTTTGGCTTTTCTCTCTGTGGGTGCTTTGAGAAAGGATACCCTGAGAAGCCTGGTAGAGGTCTATCAAATACCCCAAATACATTTTAGTAGAAAGACATCTGTACAAGTAATAACAGCGAAAGATGAGCACAAAATCTAAAATTAGTATTTTATTTTCAAAACAAATGTGTAAATTTTAATTAAACATTTTTATTGCTTCATAAGCATAAACTCGAATATATGAAATTCTCATTGAAATTCTGTTCCCACAGAACCTTTTAAGGATTTGTTTTTTAAAATAGGGCTTGTGCCTTAACAAAAAGCTTTTGGAAATCTCAAACTTTTTACTCTTGTATACTTTGGACCGGGGGTAATCAGGATAGATGCCAACTAAGCACTCAATTTTTTTTTTTTTTTGCGGTACGTGGGCCTCTCACTGTTGCGGCCTCTCCCGTTGCGGAGCACAGGCTCCGGACGCGCAGGCTCAGCGGCCATGGCTCACGGGCCCAGCCACTTCGCGGCATGGGGGATCTTCCCGAACCGGGGCACGAACCCGTGTCCCCTGCATCGGCAGGCGGACTCTCAACCACTGCGCCACCAGGGAAGCCCCACTCAATTTTTTTTAACATCAGTAGAGAGAACACAGTTTGTAGGAATATAGATAATTTTTATGAAAATACTACGTGCTTGTTGTAGACTTATAATGTATTTGAGGAAAAGAAGCCTCACTGTCATTGCTTTTAACATTATCAAAACTAAGAGAATTCTAGAAAGTTGGCCAACTATGTATAGTTTTTTTGGCAGTGGAGGGTAGACTTAGGTATATGCACAGTTTTTTTGGTTGAAACAGCACAATGCATTTGGCTGTGGTTGAAACTCCATAGGAAAATTTACTTTGCTGCTTGTTTATTCAGTCTAGCTTATCTGAGCTTTTGCAGAGATTGTTTAATGCTGAACTCAGCAAAAAAATTCAGTTCCAGGAACTTGCCACCACTCTGACTCTGTGCAGAGGAGAGCTTTGATTATATTCTAGAAATGACTTTGAAGGTTTTGCTGTAACCCGAGCTTTCTGACAGTCACTGTGGCCTGAACTCCTTCCCAGACACTGCATCCTTTACATAGAAAATGCCTTTCAGCCCCTTGGGCAGTGGGAGACTTGTCCAGCTATAGGCCCAGTAACCTCATGCAAAGAACAGTTTTTAATCATAGTTTCCCATTTTAGTTTCTTTCTGGGACTGGTGTCTTGCAAATTATTTGTTGCTAGATTGGCATGCATTACAGTTGTCAGTTTCTGTTTTTTCAGTGAGCACCCCCATTGGCTGCTTTTTAAAATAGGATTGGGTATGTTGTTACCCAAAGGGAAATGTTGAGCAAAGCAGTGGTGACCGTATTTTTTTTATCTTAAAAATCAAACTGGAAATAATGCTAAAACTGAAATCTGAGATAATTTTAGGCAGAGTTGAAAACATAATGTTTCCATATAAACTTTCCTCATAACTGTTCTTTATTGTGTAGAATTTCTGATTTACTGATATTTTTTCTTTTGTGAATCACGTATTTTTCATCTTTTCTTTGTAAATGATGATTTCTGATAGGCCACAAGAGCCTAACATTTACATCTGACCATCAGCATTTCCCTGTTGACTTTTTTGTGTTTGTTCTCGTGAATTTTATGTTGTAAATATGTGTGTAGCAGTAATACACAGATAGCCATACATTGTGCAGTCAAACTTCGAAGTGTCTGATTACTAAAAGTTGAGGTTTTGGTGGGAGAGGTATTGCAAAAGATTTTGCTCTCTCTTTTTAACTGAAAATATAGCTTTGGTGAACAGTTTTCTTAAATGAAGGAAAAATTACAGACCACAAATTTACGGTTTCTGTCTCCTTATTTCTTAATAACAAGTCTGTACATCTTCTCCCGTAAAATGACATAAAATTAAATAAAACAGCCATTTATTAAATGCCTACTCTGCTAGTTCTGTGCTAGGTACTTTCATAGACTTGATGTCACTTGATCCTTACAGCAACCCTGGGGCGGCAAACATTAACGCCCCTACCTTTTTACAGAGAAGCTGAGGTTTGAAGAAGTTAAGTAAGTGGCTCAAGGTTACACTGCTGGAAGGTGGAAATGCAGGTCTGGCCGACTCCTGAGCTCATGCATCTGCTGCCTACTGCAACTGACAGGTGACGCCATTCACATGCTGCCAGAAAAATATGTAGACAGAGACCAGCTCCTTTTCCAACTCAAGCTTTGGATGTAGTATCTAATAAATTGAGCTAATGTAATTGAATGTGTTATTTAAACCAACCCTCTAAAAAAACATTTTTTTTTTTAATAAAGGATCTCCTTTTTTTTTCCCCAGAAAAATTTTGGCAAAACTTTTTGGTTCCCAGTAACCCTGAAGAAATATGATTTAATGAAGCAGGTCGTACCCCTAAGTTTCCAAAATTTCCAACTCAATGCATAGCAGACAGAGTATGAAAGAAGGAAAGTCTAGAATAGCAGCTGTTCATCTTGCTCTGAGTTTGCATTGCTAAATTCAACATTTCCCTGAGAGTCTGAGGGCTCCTCACATATTTCCACCTCACCATGAAAATAAATGCGTCCCTGGGAAGGGTCGGAGAATGTTTCTTACCCAAGCGTGGGAGGTCATCATGGACATGCAGGTAACCTCACGCTTCCGAGGCAGTTCCGCTGTGTCTTCTGCCAATGGCCATCTGCTCATCGTTCCCAACAGGCTCCCACCTGAACTTGCACTGTTGCCAGCTAGGAGCTGGAGTGAGGCCAGGTTCCTGGCTGTGGCTGGAAAAGAAAACTGAGGAATCTAAAGGTGCGAGTTAGACAGACTGAGAGGAAGCAGGAAGGAAGATGGAAGAAGAGACAAGGAGGAAATAGGCTAAACAGCAAAGGAGGAATGGTGACCTTTCCTAAATTACCCATAGTTCTGATATGAAATCATAAGAATGCTTCAAGAAGTGGCGAAGCGTATGGCCTTTGGAGTAGAATTCTCTGGATTCAAGTCTGGTTCTGTTGCCTGTTGCTGAGTGACCTGGACAGGTTACCTAAAACACTCAGACTCCTTAACTGTAAAATGGGGGATGTAATAGTACCTACTGCTTAAAGTTAAGAGGATTAAATAAAATGATCTATGTAAATGACTTAGGAGAGTACCTGGCAGAGTAACTGCTAAATAAATGTTGGCTATACTCATAAGCTTGAATGAGGAAGTTTTCATGAAAAACAAATAGATGTGTACAGATGAAGAATGTATTAACAATGTTTTTCAAAGGCACAATTATTGTGAAGAGTGGGATTCCCTAAAATGCTTTTAAAATGGGTGGAGGACAATGATATTTCCTTACAGTCATTTAGATGTGTTTACTTGTGATAGTAGCATTTTTCAAGATAAATATACTTTCTGTGAGTTACAGGAAGAGATGTGTAACTTGAAAAGACCTGGTTATTACTGTTGTTATTATTAAAATAATTCAAACGTCAAGTGAGGAGAATGTCTCTACCACTGCTTCAGCTTTATACTGTTGCTTTGGAGTGGTTTGATGGGCTTAGAAAGACCATAGGTCCAATATTTGGTATGTGGTGATTTCTAATTGGAATTGGATGATTTCTAATTTGGTGTTAGCATCTTGCTCTTACATACGCCTTCAAAATGGAAACAATGTGTCTATTTAAATGGATAAGCTTTCCAGCTTTGTATGTTTCCCCCATACGGTCTAAGCTTCAAGAATTTGGTCTCCCAGTGTCAATGACATACAGTAGAGAATCTAAGACACCTGGAAGTAAAGTATCATAGAATCCTCACTAACTTTGAACAAGAAGGCGATAGTATAAGAACTAAATTGGGTATTTCATCATTTGCCACTCCAGGAGGGGAACTGTTGGGGCCACCAGGAAAATGCCTTCTTATTCCAAGAGGAAGTTTCAGATGTAGAAGTGAGGCCTGTTTGGGTACTGGGTGGTGTGGAGAATCAGCCAAAGCCAGTCATTGACTGAAACTAGAAATAGCTGCAGAGAAGTCCACAGCTCCGAAAAGCTCTCAGGTAGAGAGGATTTGTCACCATGACACCAGGACTCAGGGAAACCTGGCCTGTAGCCCTTGCCCTGTCATTTCTGAGCGCTGTGACACTAGCCAGGCCCCTTGATGCCCCTGTAATGAGGATCAGGTG